AGGCTGTAAATCTTTACGGAAGCATGCTGTCACATCTTTCTCCCAAGGAGCAGCTGGTGTGTTCTAACTGTCAACCTTTCAATTAGCAGCTGAGTTCTTAACCGCTGCACCACCAGGGTCCTTTCACATCACCCAAGGGTCATAAATCGTGACCTTGTAAATTCTACTTGCTTCAAGTAACACCTAAGTGAGTAAGAAGAGGAGAGCCAAAGCCTAATTGTTTACAGAGTCAGCAGAAGGGCAGCCCCTTCAACTGGTGAAATTTTACATAGAAATCTGGAAATTATGAGACAACATTGAAAGTCCCCAAGGAGATTTTACTAATAAAACAGGCTGGATCTCAGCAATCAGCCCATCTAGGGATTAATTTCTCCACCAAGAATTTAAAGAGCCCTGGATTAACTTCTCCACCAAGAATTTAAGGAGTCCTGGTGGTGCAGTAGAACCCTGGTGATGCAGTTGTTAAAAGCTATGGCGACCCAAGGCTGCTAACCAAAAGGTTGGCAGTTCAAATCTACCAGCTGCTCCTTGGAAACCCTATGGGGAAGTTCTAATCTGTCTTATTGGGTCACTATGAGTCGGAATCGACTTGATGGCAACAGATTTGTTTTTTTTTTTTTTTGGTGGCGCAGTAGTTAGGCACTCAGCTGCTAACTGTAAGGTCAGCTGTTCAAACCCACGAGACTGCTCTGCGGGCAAAATATGTGGCAGTCTGCTTCTGTAAAGATTTACAGCCTTGGAAACTCTATGGGACAGTTCTACTCTGTCCTATAGGGTTACTTCCAGTCAGAATCGACTTGATGGCAATGAGTTTGGTTATTTTCCTAATCAAGAATTTACGCCACTCAGGAATCTGGGGTCTTAAAAGCTAGTGAGTGGCCATCTAAGATGCATCAATTGGTCCCAACCCACCTGGAGTAAAGGAGAATGAAGAACACCATAGACACAAGGAAAGTATTAGTACAAGAAACAGAAAGGGCCACATAAAACAGAGACTTCATCAGCCTGAGACCAGAAGAACTAGATGGTGCCCAGCTACCACCAGTGACCTTCCTGACTGTGAACACAGCAGAAAGTCCCTGACAGAGCAGGAGAAAAGTGGGGTGCAGAACTCAAATTCTAGTAAAAAGACCAGACTTAATGGTTTGATTGAGACTGGAGGGACCCTGGATGACATGGCCCCCAGACTCTCTGTTAGCCCAAAACTAAAACCATTCCCGTGGCCAACTCTTCAGACAAAGATTAGACTGGACTATGGGACATAAAATATACTTGTGAAGAGTGTGCTTCTTAGCTCAAGTAGATACATAAGACTAATGGGCAGCTCCTGTCCAGAGGCAAGATGAGACGGCAGAGAGGGTCAGAGCTGGTTGAATGGACACAGGAAATCCAAGGTGGAAAGGAAGAGTGTGCTGTCACAGTATAGGGAGAGCAACTAGAGTCACATAACAATGTATGTATAAATTTTTGTATGAGAGAGTAACTTGAATGGTAAACTTTCACTTAAAGCACAATAACTTAAAAAAAAAAAAATTGAATTTAGCCCTCTCAGAATTTTGACAGAAGCTGAGTTAAATCCTTCTCTGGCAGGATTTGGTTTTCTAGGTTAACTCATGGGGACAAAGTTTCATTCTGTCTACTGGGATCCATTCTGAACTAAATTCTCATTAAACTGTGGCCCAGGAGTATACTTAGCAAAACCACTTCCCCTTCAGCCCCTTCTAACCTCAGCGTCAACACCAATTCCAATTCCAAAGACTGGGGAGAAATATAGGGCGACCAGACCACAAGACTTGTGGCCACCAGGATGAATATAAAGGCATGGGTTTTGCTTGGCTGAAAGCAAAGAAATGAGATGAGATGAGGAAGCCAGCTGCTGGGAGCTCCTGGGGTCTTTGAAAAATCTCACAGCAACACACCTTGCCTCTGCCGCCTAAGAACAGGGAAGACGCTCTGTGCTGGCTTCCCTTACAGAGGCTGATAAGAGGGCATAATCATTTGTGCTGTAAATAGGAGGAACCATTTTCTTTTCTTCTGCTGCTGCCTACAGAGATCCTATCTCCTTCTCTAGGTTTAAGTTTCAAATTACCTGAGTTGCTAGAAATTTCCTCTGTAAAATAAAGGCTACACTTTACTTTTGCTTCTTTCCGAATCAGAAGTCTCTGGATCAAGCCAGCTGTAAAACCTGCTCTCCTGGTCGGCTTCCATGCTACTTTTGGACTAATGAAGCATTGCCTTTTTCCCTTGCGGATTGGTGAGAAGCTTCCTGTCCATGAGATGGGGTGAAGTTAGAGATAATTTTTGTAGTATGTTTGGTTGTTTTCTTGTTCTTGTCTTTGAAATTGCAGGCAAGCAAGCAGCAAGCCTCTTCTGCTGCAAGGTGAGACATGAAGTTCCTTTGGCCTCCATTCTGTTTTGGTGAAGCTTATGAGTTTAGTTGGAAACTTCGGTTTGCTTCCAAAATGAATGACGCTGCTGCCACTTTGGGAAGTTTAAGGAATTTGTTAGTCATCCCTCATTTCTTGGTTTTCAGGAAAGTTAAACATATTTATTTGTTTCACTAGTGGGTCAGAGTGGTTAAGAGGAGTTTAGTGTAAAGGGAACAATCTGTCCTTTGATAACTAGGGGCTTCTTCTTTTCCTTTACCCTGCTTTTTCCATTTCCAAACAGTTTAAAAAAGAAACTGTCCTAAGAAAGTGGTACTCCAAAATATCACCCCTGACCCCAGCACTTCTTTAAATGTCTTCAGAAAGTAGTCTTGTAGGATCAGATTTCTAACGACTCTCACAGAGCAGAGTTTAGGATTTGGGGTCAGTCTGTATTACAGCAGTGGTTTCATTTCGTATTTATCAGAGCTAAAATAGACAACCAAAATTCCATTTATTGCAAAACTTCCTTTTCCTTCCTAAGTGTGATTGTTTTGACCTTTCAGAGTGGATGCCTATTTTGACACATTTTAACTCCTATTAGCAGAAAGCTCAGTTTAATGTTTTTACTTGTGGGTGAGTTTGCTCTGCTTCAGCGACATTCTTTCTGCTGATTCTATTGGAGGGGCACTAGGAGGCTAAGTGGATGGCACATTGGAGTCACCTTTGGTTTTCTTTGGTTATGCTGGTGGCCTCTGTGGGATCAAGGGAGTCCCTGGGTAGTGCAAACAGTTAACAATTTTACAGCAGAAGAAAGGGAAGAGGCTGCTAACCAAAAGGTTGGAGGTTCAAGCCCACCCAGAGGTGACTTGGAAGAAAAGCCTGACAACCGACTTCTGAAAAATCAGCCATTGAAAACGCTTTGGAGGAGAGTTCTACTCTAACACACATGGGGTCGCCATGAGTCGGAATTGACTCAAAGGCAACTGGGCTGGGCTGGACTGGACTGGGACAGAGAAATCTTGACTCATTCCAAAAAATACTTTCATAGTAGTCTGTCTCAAAACCTTTTCTACTTTCTCTAAACAGAACTAATCCATACAGTCTTAAGGCTTGCTCAGCGGTATGTCCTTGGTTCTGCCTTGATCCTTTTCTGCAGAAAATTCCCTCTGACATCAAAGCCTCTTCCCTTCTTCCTGCTGTAAAGTTGTTAAGAGCTGTAACACACCATCAACTCAGCTTCAGACCATGCTTAGTGAGTACAGAATGCACTCCAAGCAAAAGGAATTCAGAAAATCAAAGATGGCGTGATAATTACCAGGACAAAGAAAAGGGAGAGAATTAGTTTCTAAAGGGGCGAAACCAAAATCAATAAATGACCCACTAAGGTCTTTCTTGAGTGATGATAGATAAATCAGGCTGAAGGGAATGATGTCAGGAGATTGAAAGTAATGTTTTAGCAGCAACTACCACAAGAGGACTTGACTCCCACCCCAGTGCTTGTTTCAGTCATTCACTACCAGGCTTTGAGAAAGAAAATTGGTGACCAGTTTATGACAGGCAAATGCCCAATGATGAAAGGATCTGAAGAAATCAGAAGAACTGGCATCAGGGCTGAGAGGAGTAGAGGATGGGCTTCAACAGGAAGGGACTGTTCCCTCCAACTTCAAGAAACTTAGAATGAAGGTGGGGAGTGGTTGTTTGAGTCCCCTCCCCCTGGGATGCAGCAGACATGCAGAAAATTTTGCTCCAACCAACCTGAAGGCTGTGGGGAGCAGGCTAGAAATTGGCCAGGCTGCTATAAAGGGAGGCCGGGGTGGGAGGACCAGCATGAGCAGACGGTTTTATTCCTCTTCTCTCCTGCAGAACCTTATGGCTAGAATGGGGCAGGGCCCCCTAGTATTGAGATCCTTGGAAAAGCAGCCCCAGTCTTGGGTATGGGGGATGAGAGGTAATGGTGCTACACTCAGAGAAGATGAAGATGCTGCTGAAGCTCTGAGCCATGATTGAGCCAAACCCAGGCATTCAAGGGAAGAAATCCACTCTGGATCTGTCTGCTTCCATTGAAATCCAGTTAATAGGAAACAAGAAATCCATTAGCCTATGCCAGCAGGTGCGTTCCTCTGACACAAACCATACCTGCTGTTCATTACCCCTGGGCGCGGGCATGTAGCATTTGCCACCAATTATTTGGATTGTCTGAAGGCGCCATCCATCCCTGCATCTTTCTCACTGAGTCATGTTACCTTTATTAGCCTTATTCTATGTACCTTAGTTATTGCAGCCACTTCTGGGGGCCTCTCACCAACTCTGCCCATGCCTAGTGTCTCCTGGGGCCACTGACTTCAAAAAAAAACAAGAACAATACCCCACTCTGAACGGCAGAGACCAATGCAGTGCTTTCTTTTCTGCAATATTCCTCCCATGCTTGTCTCTCTCTCTTCCTCTCCCCATCACTCCTTGTCTCTCTTCTTCCTTCATTGTTCTTCCCTGTCCTAAGCCTTGCTAGTCCTCTAGCTCTACAGGGACACTTTTGAATGGGGTCAGAGCACTAGCCAAAGAAGCACAATAAAGCAGGAGGGCACAGCTGTTGCCACTACCCCCATCTTCCCTGTGCCACACAGGCCTCTCAGGATGGATGTCACCCGCCTGCTCCTGGCCTCTCTGCTGGTCTGCCTGTGCTTCCTCACTGCCCACAGCCACCTGGCGCTCGAGGAGAAACCCAGAGATGACAGGAGCCTGAGGAGTAACTGCTCCGTGAACCTGTTGGATTTCTCTTCTGTCTCTATTGTGGGTAAGTAGCCTAGCCTGGGGTCCAGCTTCTGGGCTCTAGCCCTTGGGAGGGGGCTTCAGGATATCTGGCCTGCCCCACCCCGGGCAGACACCAGGATGCACTGCCATGAGGTCAGGGCTCCCTCATGTTCATTCCGTGAAATAATCGTGGGAGAATAAAGTGCTCCTTGACTCATTTGGTTTGGCAAAGCTCTGCATGCCACTGCCACCAATCTAATATGCAGATTACCACACCAGAAGCTCTGAGAAAGCCTGCAGTCGAGGCGCTTGGTGAATTAGGTTTAACTCAGCATTTCTGACACTTACTGAATCACAGAACCCCTGTTAATAGTAACAAACGTTAGGAAATGCTGCAGAATATAACCGAGCCTGGGATGAAGCAGTCCTGTCATGCCAGGGTTGAGAATGACTGCTCAGGGAAAAATACTAGGGGCAACAGAGCCTGGCATTGGAGATCTTCTGGTTTGACTTCACCTGATAATAGTAATAATAGCAGACATACTGTGTGCTGGGCACTGTGCTGAGTGCTTTAGACAAATTAATTCATTTAATCTTCAAATAACCCTGTGGGGCGAGTACTGTTTTTATTCATATTTCACACTTGAGGAAACTGAGGCTAGGGAAGTTAAGTAAGTAGCATAAGATCGTTCAGTTCTTATATGGCAGAGCCAGAATTCAAACCCAAGTGTTTAACTCCTGAACTTAAGCTCAAAACTAACGTCACTTACTGCCTTGCCTCTCACCAGGAAAAGAGGATATTCTAGGCATATCAGGGAACTAAGGAGCAGGGGAGGAGGGGAATCAACATTCATTGATCACTACTGTTGTACCAGACTTTCCACTTTATAAACATACCTCATTCATTGTCAAGACAACACCCTGCAAGGTAGGTATTACAGTACTCATTTTGCAGGTGAGAAAACTGAGTCTCAAGAAGGTTAAGTAGGTTACCCAAGGCCACACAGCTGCTATATGGCAGAGTCAGGATTCATATCAGGTCTGCCTGACTTCAAAGCACTAAGAAATGGGAAATAGGAATACAGGAAACACATCCGTGTACAAGACCCGGAGCCCGTTTTCAGGGTATCGCAATGTTCTTGCCCTTGTCAAGAATGGAGACTAAAAGAGGAGCGTGTGAGGCGGCTCTGAGTGGGCCAGAGCCAACGAGCTTAAGGGACCAGGTCCCTCATGGATGCCACAGGCAGCTCCTGGGGCCTCCTTGGATTTCCCGTTTGCCTTCTCTTGGGGCCTCTTTGCTCCAAGTCCTTGGCTCCAGGTCAGTAGCCAGGCTGAAAAGAATCTGCTAGCCTGCGTCCCAAGGTATGATTCATCCAGCTCATCCCGTCCCCACCCACCTTGGCACTTCCAGAGCCCCCTCCCCTCCTCCCACCGCACTGAAGCTCAGGGTCCCCAGAAACGCTTTGTTTCTTCTGTCTCTCTTTGAAGCACTGAACAAGAAATCTAAAAGGATCAGCAGAAAAGATGCTGAAAAGATGAAGAGATCTTCCGAGGTAGGCTTGGGAGTTATCCTCACGGGGGTGGGACAAGACTTAAAAGGGATGCTTAAAAGGAGAAAGGAGCCCTGGTGGCACAGTGGTTAAAATGCTCACCTGCTAATTAAAGGTCAGTGGTTCAAACCCATCAGCTGCTCCACGGGAGAAAGATGTGGCAGTCTGCTTCTGTAAAGCTTTACAGCCTTGGAAAATCTATGGGGCAGTTCTGCTCTGTCTTATAGGGTCACTATGAATAGGAATGGACTCCATAGCAAGGAGTTAAAAGGAGAGGACCCTCAAGCTCTAGCTAGTCACTAAATGGAAGATTGTCTAGGTCTACATTAACAAAAGCAGCTGAAAGCTACCTAAAGGCTTCCTGGCCTGACGGTCCTGGGTCAGAACCCCATAGAAGCCCAAGAGGCTGAGGTTCACTGAGCAAAATAGCTGTAGTGAATCTGAGGGAATTGGAAGCTGACTAAGAAAAAGATATGATCACAAGATAGCACTGCACAACAAGCTATTTATTTAGGCACTGACAGCCACATGCATGAGGGGGTCCCTCACAACAGTAGGTCTTCCAGAGCCTAGGGGCTTAGGGAGCCACCAGAAGGGGGAGAGGGCATGAAAAACCCTGGGGAAGAGAAGGGGGGAAAGCTTATGTGTCCCTAGATGCTGCCTTCCTGCAGCAAGGTGAGTCAGAGAGCTTCCAAGGACAACAGCGTCCTAGGGTCCTTATAACTATAGGATTGTTTCTTGTCTAGGACTAGCAGATGTTGAGTGCAGTTTCATGGGTATGTAAAGCAGGCAGGCTCTAAGTGGCTAAAAATCTGCTTATTTGTGCTGTTTTTAAAACAACTGGATATGTACAAATTTGAGTTTGGCACTGGTGGGCTTTTTTGGGCTAATGGGCCTCAACTTGCTACGAAGAAGTGAACAACTGGGGGCTAATAAACAGAGGCCATTTTTTACTCCTTTATGTAACAATAGCTTACCTGTTAAAAAGCATCTTCCTATACTAGCTGGGCCCCTGCCTGCAATGTCACCCTCACTTATTCTTTCAGATTAGTGAGATGTTTCCAAACCTCAGTCAGTTCAGAGCTACTTTCACAACTTTTACCATATGAGATTCACCTATTTAATATACTTAGTTTAAATTAAAACTTAATAAATTATGTAACTATGATAAATCGAACACCAGTATCACTTGCCATAAATAGAAGATAACCATAAAAACAAGCAAAATGACATTGAAATGTTTAGGCTGGGTTCTCTAGAGAAGCAAAACCAGTACAGCATATAAATGTATAATAGAGAGATTTATAACAAGGAAACGGCTCACATGGTTGTAGAGATTGTAGAGTCCCAAGCTCGTGGGTCAGGCTGGAGGATTCTCCTGACTCATGTAGCCGCAAGTTCTGGCAAATCTAAGATCTGAAGGTCAGATGGCAGGTAAACTGCTAGGTCAAGTCCTAAGAACCGGAGTCAGATGAACAGGAGCCAGCTGCAGGAACCAGAGCAAGCAAAAGCCAGCGAGCCTTGCCAGAAAGTCCACCTATATTGGATGCAGGCCACACCCCCAAGGAAACGTCCTTTCAACTGACTGGCAGCTCACAAAAGATCTCATCATGGAGGCGACTACATTATATCAGAACTCATTATGGAGGTGATTACATCATTAAAAAGCTGCCAAACTACATCATAACTGCCACACCACTGAGGATCATGGCCCAGCCAAGTTGACACACAGTTTTAATCATCACATGAAACATTGTTTAGTGAATTCTAGCTGGATGGTGTGGCCTGCCAAAGGCTCTAAATCTGAGGCCTGCTCTGGGTTAAATGGCAGATTAGTAAGTGTTGAGGAGGCATTAATGACATGCTGACACCAAACTGAGCCTTTCAAATTGAAAGACTGAAAAAAGAAACTTTTCTACGTGCTTCAAGGTCATTTCATAGTCACGTACCACCTAAAATCATAACACCATGGCCTGTGTTCCCACACTTTGGGAAATACTGGATTAAAGCATCGTTGAAGTACACACATTATTCCTCTTTTAGTCTGCCTCCATTTCCAGATCAACTGTAACCAGAACAGTGAGTACTGGACAAGGCACCTGGCCCTGGGTGAGCTTGAGGAAGTGTCTGTTCCTCTCTGGGCCTGTTTCTCGGGCTGTAAAGTGAACAAGCAGATCTATCAGATGATTGGCAAACATACATTACAGGCACTGGGAATATAGCAATGAGTAAGAGAGAGCTATCCCTGCCCTCATGCAGTTGTGAGGAAAACAGATGAACAAGTAAATCAATAAATACAGAAGATAAATTTGGATAATGATAAACACTTTGAAGGAATTAAAGCATGGTAATGAGACAGAGCCCTGGCGGTACAGTGGTTAAGTGCTTGGCTGCTAACTGAAAGGCCAGCGATTCAAACCCACTGGCCTCTTTGTGGGAGAAAGGACCTGGGAGCTAAAGATTACACCGTTGGAAACCCTATGCGGCAGTTCTACTCTGTCCTACAGGGTCACTATGACTTTTTGGAAGGAGACAGAAGTGAGTGAAGGGAAGAATGGTCAGGAAGCGGCCTCTCTGAGGGGGCAGCACTTAAGCAAAAAGAAACCAAACCCATAGCTGTTGAGTCGATTCCGACTCATCGCGACCCTATAGGGCAGAGTAGAATTGCCCTACAGGGTTTCCAAGGAGGCTGGTGGATTTGCACTTCCAGCCTTTTGGTTAGCAGCTGTAGCTCTTAAGCACTGCACCACCAGGGCCCCAAGCACTTAAATAGAAGACTGGAAAACTCAAAACAACCCAGAGCAGCAATGTTCAATACAAAGAGAATGTGAGCCACACATGTAATTTTAAATTTTCTAGTAGCCACATTAAAAAAGGTAAAGAAAAAGATGCAGTTACTTTTAATAATACATTTTATTTAGCCCAAAATATCTAAAGTATTATCACTTCAACATGTAATCAATATAAAAATTATTGAGATATTTTCCATTCTTTTCCTCTTTGAAACCTGGTGCACATTTTACACTTACAGCACATCTTAATTCTGATAACGTTAATTTTCAACAGCTAAAGTGCGATGTAGTCCTACTAACACAATAATGTTTACAGGAAAAAAAAAAATTTAACACTGCTTCAATATTGAAATTTAAATTATTTAAAATTAAATAACATTTGAAAACTCAGTTCCTCAAGTTGGACTACACACATGTCAAATACAGCTTCAAATATACTTGCGTTCTTATATACCTTCAAGTCTAACTACATATGACCAGTGGCTACCTGTATGGGGCAGCACAGCAAAGAAGGTCTTGGCACAGGGAGCAGCATGCAAAGCTACAGGAGGAGCTCATTTGCTGTATTCAGTGCACAGAAAGAGGGCTCGCAGGGCAAGGTGGTAATGACAGGTTGGAGAGGTGGGCAGGAACCAGACCACAGAGGGCCTCAAGGGCCAAGGTAGTTTGTACTTCATTCTGAGTGCACAGAAAAACCACCGGGTGTCTTTAAGCAGGGGTGGGATGCTATCAGAGGTCTTCTTCGGAGAGGCCCCTCTAGTGCACTGGAGGATGGCCTGGTGGCCTGGCCCAGGTTACTAGCAGTGGAGGTGGAGAAGTGGGTGGACTCAGGATCTGCTGTGAAGGCAGACGCGACAGGAATTGCCGATAGACAGGAAGAGGGAAGACAGACGGTAATTAAAAGCTATGGAACTGAGTGGGGTCTGCCACCAGGAGAAGAAGGCCTGGCTGAAGCCCGGTAAGTTTTAATGGGGATGGAGGCAGGTCGGACATGATGAGGGAGCGGGCAGGGACTGGCTGGGTGCCCTGTGGTCGTGAGTCAAGCGTGCAGTGGGCAGCCAGGTGGCGTGTCCGGCCCGGTGCCTCTGTAGCTCAAGGAGCCGCCAGGCAGAGGTGGGGACTGGTGGGGCGGGCGTGGCCCTCTCCGGCAGTCCCGGCGTTTCTCCCGCAGAAAAAGGCTTCGGTGAAGAAGGCGGCGCGGCCCCGACCCCCGCCGCCCGCCGGCTGCGTGGCCACCCAGGGCAGCTGCAAGCCGCCGTCGCCCGCCTGCTGCGATCCGTGCGCCTCCTGCCAGTGCCGCTTCTTTCGCAGCGCTTGCTCCTGCAGCGTGCTGAACCGCAACTGCTGAGCGCATTCCGCCTCCCGGGCCCAGTGGAAGGGCGCCGGCCGGCGGAGCTCGGTGGAAACCAGCAGACGCTTCCAGTAGGTGATCTTAGTAGGTGTGGCTTCCTAGGACTGAGCGCAGGCGAGGCTACTGAGGTTGGGCGGAGCTTTCTGGAGGCGGGACTTCAAGAAGACTTGGCTTGGGCTAAAATCTGAATATATGTAGGCTGATCCAAGTTCTGTGGCTGTTTCTTCAAAGAACCCGAGAGATCCCTTTCGCTTTCCCTTCACCGATACACCTTTACCGCTGAAAGCCCCGCGGACTGCGCACCCATTATCTACACCGAGACGTGGGAGTCACGTTATGCAGACCACAGGGCTGCGTTCCCGGGTAATCGTTTCTCCGATCCTGCAGCTGGGGACTCTGCTGCCTCCTACCTTTAAACCTGAGAATGCCTCCAAAACCAGGGAATGCCGTCTCTCACCGTTTCCATCTCCTGAAGAGCTCTCCTACCCCTGTGCCCCCGCCAAAAAAAGTTCCAACTCCATACACAATCTCACGGGGCTGCCTGTCCCAAGGGAGCCTGCACTCTGAGGATAAAGACTGGGGTGGCTATTTAGAAGTGCGTTGCCGTGAGTCCCTACAGCCAAAGGCTCTAGGCTGAGGGGCCTTAGAATCCTAGGACTCTGCCAAGCAAAGATGCACTTGTGCCTGCTCCTCCCTCCCCCTAGCCGTTCACAGAGGTACTGGAACCTGGGAGGAGTTTCCCCCACTCCTGGGCTAAATGAAAACTGACCAGTGGTCCCCAGGCATTTTTAACTGATAGCCTAGAGTTCGGGCTCTCAGGTAGGAAGCAGGGACTCCGGGATCCTTCCTCACCTCTCACCCCAGCTCTGTCAGCCTGTAATAAGGAAATGGGTCTGGGCTTGGTATGAGTAGGCAGCAGCTTTTGTACTGGATTATCAGGGACCCGTGGCCAAAATGCCCCAAGCTGTTGTCTGAAATCCTATCCTCAGAAGTGCGCTGAGTCTGTGAGAAGCTGAGGTGCAGCATTATATCTTTGGAAGGACCCTGGGAGAGGGAGCACGTAGGATGCTGCTTTAGGGATGAGAAAAGAGTTGGGAGCAGGGTCTGTGACTTGGGGCCAGGCAGGGCGGGAGGGTGATAGGAAAACACCAAGTGCCTGAAGGGGAAGGGCTCCAAATGACATTACCTACTTGCACTGCTTGGCGGGTGGGGGGGGGGGCATCCCTGACAATAGGAAGAAAAGCAGTGCCCCACCTCCACTCCAGAAGCAGGAGCGCTTCCTCAAGGAATCACTATGTCTAATCAAGAGCAAAGAAACTACAAAACATGGAGAATTAAAAAGGCCTGTGCACAAGAAAGCATGTGAGACAGAAAAATGTGGAGCAGTTACCTCAGCCCTGATAAGCCCCATGTATCTCTGTTGCTAGGGAGGTAAGGACAGTGGAGCTCAAGGGCCAGCTAAACCAAAACCAAACCCATTGCCGTCAAGTCGATTCTGATTCATAGTGACCCTATAGGACAGAGTACAACTGCCCTATAGGGTTTCCAACGAGCAGCTGGTGGATTCGGACTGCTGACCTTTTGGTTAGCAGCCAAGCTCTTTAATCACTTCGCCACCAGGGCTCTGAAGAGCCAGCTAGGTGGACCCATTTCCCTGGCCCACTTGCTGCCTTCCCTCTTTCAAACTCCTTAAACTCCCTCCTTGACAAGGACCTTTTCCCAACTGGAGACCAAAGTCATGCCTGCAGTGACACAGCCAGTATGGAATCAAGGAAGCAAATGCCAACCTCCAGACTGGAGAGAGTGGGAAGAACCACCTGGACAGAGCACAAAAAGAGAAGATGGGTGCTCCCTCTTAGGCTGTCAACACAATTCTGCACACTGGGCAAGTCCCTGCATCTCTCTGGGCTTTCATTTATTTGTCTATAAAATGGAAAATAATCATTCTTGCTGTTCTTGTTATATAGGACATTGTTGCTTCTCTGAGCCTTAGCACAATAAAACACACACATATACCGAGAGAAACTGCCAATTGCTTCTTTTGTTTTCTGTCATTAAGGCTGCAGGTACACAGGGCAAGAACCTTTTGTTCCTTTGTACCACAGCTGCTACTGAGTAAATGTCATGAGTAATGACAATACTGGGAACACATTACAGCCACTGTCCTGTGTTTTGCAAACACTGCTCACCAACTGGGCACCATTTGGCCCCCAGCGTGAGGCCAGAGATGCAAAGCCAATGACCCAGTCCATTAGTGACAAAGCTGCTTGGCTGCTGGGTCCAGACACCTGTGGAAGACCAACCCATTCATTCATTCATTCAGCAAATGTTTACTGAGTATCTACTGTGTGCCAGAAATTGTGCCTGGTGCTATGAATCCCGTGGTGAACAAGTCCAACATGGCTCCTCTCCTTACAGAGCTTCTGGTCAGTGGACCATGGGCACTGGCCTTTGTTAGAGGCTAGAACCGTTGTTAGCATATGGTCTATTCTCTCTCAGTTCTTGCTTCTGTTGACTCAGATCCCTGATTAAATATTTACCTGCCCAAGTTCCCCTTCAGGAGATTCCTGAGATTCTTCCACCTTTTCAAGATTCCTCCTCAGTCCTCAGGGTGCTGACAGCACGGTTCTAGGCCTTTGCAAAATTCTTCCTGGGTGACCAGAATTGACCATCTGTGGCTCAATGTTATGGTTCTACCATTATGAAGATTTGGTGCCCTCTACCCCCACCTCCACCATCATTCTCTCTCTCTCTTTCTGTCTCCAATGCACATACATAGGGAAATGAGTGAACTCTGTCCTAGAAAGATTTGTTCTACCTCTTTACACAGCAACCAGTAAACTTCTCCATACATGAAATGAAAAATAAACCAGGAAATCTCCCTACCTCCATTGTGGCTATGGATTCAGGATCATTTCTTCCAGGAGGGGATGGCCTTAAATTTGTGCCCAAAGTTCTCACAGTGTGGCCTTGAACAAGTCACTATCCTCCTGATGCCACCATTTCCCCGTTTGTAAAATGAGGAGTAAATCAGTCAGAGCTCTTTGGTTGAGAGCAATAGAACTCTAGCTAGCCTAAATTTAAAAAAAAAAAAAAAAAAAGTGTGTAGGGGGGTGATCTACTGAAGAGGTCTGGGGACCTCACAGAACCAAAAGAAGGGCTACAGCATAGAAATGAAAGGACAGGACCCTGAGGGAATATAGAGGGGCCAGGTCGCAGAAACCAATGGATAATCTCTTCAGGGCGAGACCATGGGGATAAGTGACTTTAGTGTTTCCATTGAGCCATTCAAAATTCAACTTCCCAGGAGAGAGAGTCTGTTTAGCCTGACATGGTACCCAAGAAAGGGTGTGCCATTTTGAGTGACAGGCCCACAAAGTCCCTTTGTAATGTGGGCGGGTAATTCTCCAAGAGAAAACTGAGGAGCTGTTACCAGAAGGGGGACAAAAGTTGCAGCCGGCCACTACAAGAGGGCTGGACTCTGCGCTTGCTCTGAGGGTCCTTCCAGCCCTGGAAATTCTGCAAGATAAACTGAGGCAACCGTTTTCAAAACTTTGTATTTAAAGCAGGAGGACGCTTTCCTCAGCTGAAATCTTAAGCAACCTCATTACATACACATTAAAGCAGTTCTGAATTAGTAAAACTTTATAATGATGCACACAAAAATTTGAAATCAGAGATTAGAGATTATACCCTAGTATATCAGCCTCAGCACACACATTACTTCTGTCTTGTGTTTTGGCTGCACAGTTCTGAGAGGCCTAATCCACACAGAGAAGTTGTTGCAAAAACGTTTTAACAGCTTGCCTTATGACCTCACAACATTCTTCTATAAACAGAAACAGCAAGAGGTTTCTTTCAAAATCTGGTCCAGGTGGTCTCCAATGTGTTAAAATTTCCCACATAGCCCATTTACACATGCATGTTTTTATTACATTTTTTAAAAGTCTCCCATGTTTCTAAAACAAGAAATTGAAGCTTATGGTTCCATAAAAGCAATATACTCTGTGAACCACAGGCCAACCTAATTGGCAATTGTTGGATCCTTATTCTGAGTTCCACCATCTGTTTGAACAGCCGTAGATCTAGCATCACTACCCACTGTCCAGGAAATTAACCCCAGTCATACGATAACTTTTAAAGGAATTTAACTCTGAGGGCTAATTCCCAAGTGTGAAGGTGAGAGGATAGGCGAAGAAAAGAATTTGATCTGAAACTGAATTAGCCAAACCACCTGTAGCAAATTTCATATTAGTTTAGACTTGTTGCCCTCTTTCTTCTCCCATGTACCAGGTGTATTTTTTGTGGGGTACAGGGTGTGTGTTGTGGTGGTGAGGGTGTCTTTGATTTTATCAGGAAAATCCCTAAAAGTCATCAAATGCCTGTCTTTACTCCAGAAAGGAGTTTTCTACTGATGGCTTGTGGAGAAATAGCAGCTAATTGCCAGCTCTCCCAGCTGGATATGGGAGTTGTGGAGTCTATGAGGTGGCACCACTTGGTGATGGTGATGATGATGATGATTGTGCCTTTTTGTTGCTGGGGAGCCACAGCAAATAGCTTCATTCTTTTGGTTCCAGAAGGTTTGCTCACACCTGCCAGACCTCCTCTTTAGAATTCCTGGACCCAATGCCTGTATAGACTACTAGAGCAATGCTAAAAACACAACTTCCTGAGAAAAAAAAGATAAATATAATAAATATAATAAATAACCTTCCCAACTTGGTGAGACTAATTTGGTGAGGTCACATTTACAAGCTATTGGGTGAGCTGATTCCTCCTCCCCAAACTGAAAGCAAAGCCTTGTGTTTTGGGGTTAGTAAGCACTGGGGAAAAGCTCAGTTCTAATTATTTATCCCGATATCTATCAACATCTAGAACTCTGCATAATGTCAAAGGTTGCAATGGTAAAGTAGAAATGGTTGAGGAGCATAGGAGAAGTGCAACCCTTGGGGAGCCGGGAAGTAAGGGAAGAGGAAGAGGAAGAGGACTTGATGAGA